CTGCTAGCATGGCAGTTGAAAAAGAGACAAAAATTGAATACAGTTACAAATCTAGAGATTGATGGGAGAGTTGTTCAGAAACCAGAAGAAATCAGAAGGTGCTTCCAGAGATACTTCAAAGAACTTTATGCACAGGGGCCACAGAAAGAGTTCGAGATAGACCAATTTTTAAAATTTAACGGTCTACCAAAAGTAACTCAGGAAAAGAGAACAATCCTGAACTGTAAAATAACACAACAGGAAATTGAAGGCGCCATTCAGAATATGCAATTAGGCAAATCTCCAGGCCCGGATGGACTCACCTCCAAATACTATAAGACTCTAAAGGACTATTTGATACAACCTTTGCTAGAGGTATGCAACCAGATTATGGAGGGGAAGAAGGCACCGGAATCGTGGAAAGAAGCCTTCATCACATTGATTCCCAAAGTGGAAACTGAAAAGACTCAACTTAAGAACTACCGTCCCATCTCACTCCTAAATGTGGATTACAAAATTTTTGCAGACATTTTGGCAAGTAGACTTAAAAAAGTTTTGAATGAAGTAATTCACAAGGACCAGGCTGGCTTTCTCCCAGGTAGACATTTGTCTGACAACACCAGGAACATTATTGATATTTTGGAACTTTTACAAACAAATATCAATAGGAGAGCGGTGTTAATTTTTATTGATGCAGAGAAAGCCTTTGATAATATTTCTTGGATGTTTATGAAGAAAAATTTGGAAGGGATGGGAGTGGGACGGGGGTTTGAAAATGGAATACAAGCAATCTATACAGAGCAAAAAGCTAAATTGATAGTGAACAATGTGGTGACAGAGGAGTTTAAAATTGAAAAAGGGACACGACAGGGGTGCCCGCTATCTCCTCTTCTATTTATCTCAGTCCTGGAGGTGCTACTGAACATGATCAGAGAGGACCGGTTGGTACAAGGAATAGAGGTCGGAGTGAAACAATATAAACTGAAAGCTTTTGCAGATGATCTAGTTTTAACACTACAGGAGCCAGTATCTAGTACAAAAAGAGTTTTAGAACTGATTCATGAATTTGGTCGGGTGGCGGGATTTAAGCTGAACAAGCAAAAGACCAAGGTTTTGGCCAAAAACTTGACACCTACAGAAACAGAGGGGTTTCAGAAAGAAACGGAACTAAGTGTTGTTAAAAAAGTGAAATACCTAGGGGTTCATTTGACTGTAAATAATTTGAATTTATTTAAAGACAATTACGAAAAATGTTGGTCGGAAATTAAGAAGGATTTGGAAATTTGGTCAAAGTTGAAACTTTCCTTGTTGGGCAGAATTGCAGCTATAAAGATGAATGTATTGCCGAAAATGTTATTTTTGTTTCAAACCCTACAGATCGTGGACAGAGTGGAATGTTTTGGAAAATGGCAGAAGGATATATCTAAATTTGTCTGGCAGGGCAAAAAGCCCCGAATAAAGTTTAAAATATTAACTGATTCGAAAGAAAGAGGGGGGTTTGCCCTGCCGGACTTGAGGTTGTATTATGAAGCTGCAGCCTTTTGCTGGCTGAAGGATTGGTTTCTGTTGGAGAACACTGATGTCCTGGATCTGGAAGGGTTTGACAATGCTTTTGGTTGGCATGCTTACCTGTGGTATGACAAGGTCAAAGTTCATAAATTATTTAAAAACCATATTGTTAGAAGAGCAATCTTTGCGGTTTGGTCGAAATATAAAGACTTACTGGAGGGCAAGACCCCGAGATGGCTTTCACCGATGGAGGCCAAGGCTAGGAAAAGACCCAACATGGAGGCCTATTGGCCAAAATATTGGGAAATAATTGAAAAAGTTGGAGACAAATGGAGGTTGCAGAGCCAAGACAAACTAAAAAATAAGGTGCGGGATTGGCTACATTATGCTCAAATCCAAGAGGTTTTTAAAATGGACAAAAAAGTTGGTTTCCAGGTGGAAAAATCGAAATTAGAGATGGAATTGTTAGAATCAAAAACTAAGACACTCTCGAAAATGTATAACTTGCTGCTTAAATGGAATACACAGGATGAGACAGTTAAATCTGCCATGATAAAATGGGCACAGGATATTGGACACAACATTATGTTTGAAGACTGGAAAAGGTTATGGAACACCGGTATAAAGTTTACGGCATGTAATGCCTTGAAAGAAAACATTATGAAAATGATATACCGGTGGTACATGACCCCAGTCAAGTTAGCTAAGATATACCACTTGTCTGATAATAAATGTTGGAAATGTAAAGAGGCAGAAGGGACATTCTTCCATCTTTGGTGGACCTGCCCAAAAGTGAAGGCCTACTGGGAAATGATTCACAATGAGTTAAAAAAGGTATTTAGGTATACCTTTCCCAAGAAACCAGAGGCCTTCCTATTGGGCATGGTGGACCAGAAGGTGTTAAAGAAGGACAGAACTTTGTTTATGTACGCTACTACAGCAGCAAGAATCCTTATTGCAAAGCACTGGAAGACTCAAGATTTACCCACGCTGGAGGAGTGGCAGACGCAGTTGATGGACTACATGGAACTGGCTGAGATGACTGGCAGAATCCGAGATTTGGGAGAGGAAACAATGGAAGAGGACTGGAAAAAATTTAAGGACTATTTGCAAAAACACTATAAGTTGTATGAATGTTAAGAAATATGCACGATTAGGGAATTTTTTGCTTTAGCAACTTGATTAGGTAAACGGAAAACTAAGACAAGAAAAAAGAGGTGGTAATATGAAACAATTTTATTATGTTAATTTTAAATGTACAAAGTTGGGATAAAATATTGTGAATTTAGAAACATAATAACTGAAAGATACAGTAAGTTAAGAAACAGGGTAACAAATTGCTGAAACTTTTACTACAAAGAACGCAGAGTCGGGAGGATGTGGGGAAGTCCATTTGGAATACTGAAAAATGACTGAAAATTGGATTGTATTGACCTTTTTATTATTTCGGTTTTGTATTTGTTTCTTGTATTTTCTTTCTTTAATTCTGTGTCTATGACTTTAAGAAAAGAAACTCAATAAAAAATATTTTTTTTAAAAAAAAGGGGGGGGGAGAAAGCAGAGGAAGGCGGACCCAAAAAGGAACCATACAGGAGTTGTGCCAAAGTTTTGGCCTTGTATAATTTTAGAGCTGCGGGGACGAAGGAGCCCCCTTGTGCTCTGAAGAATTTAAGAATACAATTTGCGTTTTTCCCCGCTGAACTCCCAATGGAGTTTATGTGTAGTTTGTTGGTTCCTGAGGCCTGTACCACCATTCCTACATACTTGTAGTTTGTCACTTGTTCTAATTTATGGCCTTGGAGTTCCCAGCTTCTAAGCTTTGGCTTTTCCCCAAAAGTGAGTATCTTGGTCTTTGATAGTTGATTTTGAGACATTCAGATTCACAGTATGCTGCGAGCTTTCTTAGTCCTCTTTTGAGTCCAGTGGGACTCAATTCTAGATAGAATTACCGCATCATTGGCATATAGCAGGACCGAAATATGCCAATTTGCAAGCTTTGGCCGGTGGAGTTCTGAGTCATTGAGTGCAGATACTAAGTTATTTAGATAGAAATTAAATAGTAGGGGGGCCAATAGGCACCCTTGCCTGACACTTTTGAAGGTTTTAATAGGGTCCATTAGGTGTCCTAGGCGGCTGCACCTGACTCTAAGAGCCGTGTTTGCGTGCAGTGCCTGAATTAAGAGCAGGAGCCTTCTACCTATATTGGTACCCTGTAGTCTGTCCCAGAGTCTGGTTCTGGAGACTGTATCAAAGGCTGCTTTTAGGTCAACGAAGGCAGCGTATAGTGAGGCCTGCTCTCCTGATTTGTATTTGTCGATGAGATGTTGTAGCGTTAGGCAGTGATCTGTCGTGGACCTTCCAGTTCTGAAGCCTTCTTGTTCTATTGCCAGGATATCTTCATTCTCTAGCCATTCTGTAAATTTATTAAGGAGGTGCTTTGCGTAGAGTTTACTGATCACACTTAATAGGCTGATCGGCCTATTCGCTGGGTCCCCTCTGTTGCCCTTTTTATAGATTGGAGCAATTATATCTGTTCCCCATTCCCTTGGGATGCGGCCAGTGTCATCTATGTAAGTGAAGAGGGTGGCTAAGAAAGGTGCCCACCAATCCACCTGTGCTTTTATCATTTCTGGTGTAATGCCGTCTGAGCCTGGGTCTTTGGCCATTTTCAGTTGGTTTATATATGATTTCAGAACTGAAGTGATGTGAGAGACTGATAAAGTCCTACAGAAAATGATAGCTTCTTATTGTTCCTAAATGTGGTTCTACAAGCTATTTAATAATAAGATGTACTTAGTTTTTCACACATGGCTTTTCCATATTGTCTTTATTTCTGTTAATAAATGGCACAGTGTAATGTGTCATGTGTTGCTGTTCATCTGAGTGTGTGTGTGTGTATAATCACATTTTTAAATGTGGAATTGTTCCCAATGTAGTAAACATTCATATAGATTTGTTTTGGGATGCCTCATAGGAATCATAGAATAATAGAGTTGGGGTGAAACACAAGGGGCATCTATGCCAACCCGCTTGAAGCCAATCACTCCTTTTCGAGAGCAGATGCGCCTCATGCCTTCCTCCACAGACATCCTATTGGGAGAAAGCCAGCTAATGGGTGCTAGACGAACAGGCCTCTGAGTTCCTAGGCCCTTGACCAGGACCAGCCAGCCACAGCTGCTTTGTTGACCCCTTGGGATAACTCTGTGTACATACAGAGGTCTGCAGCCCACAGGTTCAAACCAAGTAAAAGCTTATCTCTATAAACATAAAAGAGATGTGAATAAAAGAGACATTACTCTTTCACTTGTAATATTATTTCATGTTTCAGTTAAGCACTCGCCTTCCCATTATAAAAGGGGCATTCTGGGAGTATTGCAGGATAGGGCAAGAAAGCACTCGTATGTCTTTGAAAACCTAGGACCTTCTGAACACACAGCAGGTGCTGGGTTACTGAGCTAGTGTCCCTTCCAGATAATTAATAAACAATCCAGCACAATTCTGTGTATATCAGCTTAGCTTTAATAACATAATTATTAATGCTTCCTATAACAGACATCTTGTCAGAAACACTGCAACTGTTTTATATGGACTAGTTAGCTTTGTAATGCTTATCAAATCGTTCTGAAAGAGCTCTTAAGATATTTCCTGGTCTTTTTTGGTATTTATCCCGAAGATTTTCAATTGCAGTCTTTGCCTGTTGAAAGAAGAACAAAGGAATACATTGTGTTATAGGAATATATTGCTAAATAGGTGTTCACAGTTATTAATATCTGCGATGATAAAGTTAAGGGATCAAAACCAGAGGCAACACATTTATTCCAGATATAGAAGCACAATATGTAACTTCTTTCTGGGATACGTAAATGACTTTGTAGACTGAGATGTGTTGCATGATAGTCCTTGTCTCTCAATCCTGAAAAGTGGCTTCTTCAACATGGAGGGTTGGGCCAGAGCAGCCAGGGTGAGGAACCCCCACTAGGAAACTGCTCATCTGTCAGTGAATCCAGCCCACACTCTTTATGTTTACCAAGAGCGCTGTATGAGAATGGCAGAGAAACAATCAAAACATAAGTGCCTTGGGCTGCTTGGTACGTATTAGTTTTCCTGCACGGTTGTTACCTCCAGCTATGTGAGGAAAACTGCAGAAATGCTATTGAGTTATATTTCACTATATATTCACTATTCGCTTAGAATGGCAATGTGTGACAGGGCTAGTGACAGAAATAAGTCACCTCCTGGTTCCATGCCTCAGCAGGGCATGGGTGAAAATAGCAGAGTAGAATGGAGTCACATTCACGTGCAGAGTTGCAATAAGTCACACAAACATCAGAAGTTCTTGAGTAATAGTTTTACCGAGGCTTAAGAGCGTACAGTGCTTACTGGGTCCCCCACTGGGAAGGGGGCTTGGAGGAACCCTCTGGGGCAGATTCTGGGGCATATGGTGGGCAGAAGAAGTCCTATTGCATGAGCAGATCTTTGTGCATAAAATGCATAGGCTTTTCATGGTCTCAACAATTTACAGAGAGGGAAAACTGAGTGATGAACATAATGCACAAATGTTTATATAATGAACCCGATCTCTGGTCGTATAGAATGAGCAAGTCAGTAGGCAGAAACCATTTTATAGAACTGAAAAAGAGAAACCAACAGGAAAACAATATTCTGCTTTTTTACTTCCTTGTGTAGAGTTAACTTACTTTTTCAGCCAGCTCTGCAGCTGTTATATTTGGATCATATGGGATGGGTTCTCCAATATATGTCCTCAGTTTCACTGGAAATGGCCCATATATGGGAAGGCAGATAAGTCGTTTTTTCTCATATAACCATCTTGTCAGCCCTATGTATGAAAGAGAAAAGAGTCTGTAAAAAGCGATCCCATATCAAATTTGAAATTAGTTGGCATTCTGAGTTTTTAGCAATCCCAATCAATCTCTCCCAGAGATGAGGTTAAATAATTTGAGTGCATATTTTTTAAGAGACAGCACAACTTTTGCAGGTAAGTGTACACTGAATAAACTACTAGTAGGAACGAAATAGATTTTTTAAAAAATATCATTGTATATTATTAATCTGTTTATTGCCTGATATTATATCTCTTGATCAACCAAGGAATATAAGATATTTTGCTCACTTGACTTTCCAATGTTCCTGAATGTTTCACAAGCGTTTTGGGTAAACATAGGGATGATGGGCTGAAAGAATAAAAGAAGAAATACAAAATCAAAAGAAAGGTGAGAACTGGAGAATTACTTCACCCCACCCACTCCACCTTTATTTTGGTTAAGGACTAGGAATAATGCTCCGCATCTGGTATTGCAATGACAAGCTTGATGTAATTGACTTCAAATTGCACATGCTGTCCCCCAGATTTTCAAGAATTGAAGAGGAAAAAAGCTATTTTTCTTTTTAAATGTAAGTGATTTCAATAGCTTTTTTAAATAAAAAAGCAGGGGTAGGAAATACTTGGAACTCCAGATATCATTTGACCCCTAAACAGGATGTTAGCCGTCCTCAACTACTTAGGATGCTAGATTGAGGATGTCAACACATTAAGTCTTATCTAGGATAATCGTGAAGGCAATGCAAATTGCACAAAGATCACTCACCACTTTTGCCTCCAAAGCTACCCGAGCGAAACCTGTGCGGTTACCCCACATTATATTGTAGTCATTACTAAAGTTTGATTCTCTACCTCCACCAGGGGAAATGCCCAGTAAATGGCCTTTCTTCAAAATTTCCACACATTCAGCTTTATTGAAATCTTTCAAATTGATGGAATTAAAAAGTATCTTCAGCCCTGAAAAAAAAAAGCCCCAAATAGAAAGAAAATGCATTTTATATAACGCTTATTTAGGAAATTTTGTGGACGCTATTCAAGTGTCATTATTCCAAAGATATTGCACTGTTACAGATCACAAGCATAGTTCTCTGCCAATCCTTTTCAAGTAGGTTTTCGTGGAAGTGCTGAGGTGGCCACCTTTTTTTTTTATTTTATTTTTAAATAATATTTATTAAAGTTTCAAGTAATACAAAAGATAAAAAGGGGAAAAAAAGAACAAAAAAGAAAATTTCCCCTTTACAATTCCAAATTTTCAATAACATTTTTTCCAGAACTTCCCCTCACCTCCCCTTCTTGTATTCCACATCCAGATATTTATCTAGCAAGTTCTTATCCCTAACTTTTTAACCTTAATTTATTTATTATGTTTAATTCAATTTACATATCAGCTTTTAACTTATTATACATTAACCCTTTATACTTAAAATTTCCTTCCTAAGATCAGCCCAGTTTCCCTTCCACGGATTCCCCATCTTTATACTGATAACAGCAGAAATTTAAAAAAGAAATAAAAGATATCAAACAGCCTTTGGATTTCCAGACCCCACCCTCCCTTCCCCGGCTTCGATCCCAAAACCATTGTCCATTAGTCCATCTACTGTCAGCCTGGCAACCTCACATCTGAGGCTCTTAAATCTCTTTCAGTCCCTCTCTGCCGGTTTCTTTGAAAGTCCTTTGTATTTGACACCAAGGCTCGGAGGGGCACAATCCCTATAATTTCCATGATCTTTCCAGCCCGGCCTCCATGTTTAAAGGTGGAGCTCAAATCTTGCTTCTTAATATTTTTAAATCCAAGTGTCCCAAAGGCTCCAGCATCCACCTTGATCAAATTTGTAATCTCCATCTTAGCAGGCCTCCGGCTCACCATTGCCCTCTGCAGCATTGCAGCCCCTCCTTCCTGCTCCTTCTGATCAGCATCTTCTTCCACTTCTTCCACTTCCTCAGTTTTCCCTAAGTTCTTTCCTTGTTCTGCTGCCTGGGTTTTGTACGTCAGGTTCTTTTCCAACTCAGTAGGTGCATTTATTGTTGACTCGAAAGTTATGGCGCTTGTAGACAAAACATGGCCTTGCTCATACATCCTTTGTAACTTTCCCACGAGAAAGGCAACCTCATCCAGGTCCGCTAGTATTTTCCGGCCTATTTCCATTCTTGTAGTGTCCCTGAATCCCCTCTAGAGGGATTCTGGTTATTCAGTATTCCTTTCACTTCAAACCCAAAGGCCAAATTAATTTGTTTCAGCCCTTATTTATTTTCAGCAACTTGTAACTATATTATGTCCAATGTAACCGGCAAGAACGTCAGAAATAAAGTTCTCTATTTTTCCAACTTTGACAGCTAATTTAACAGCTGTCAAAGTCTTCTATGTCTCCTCAGCAGGCTCCTCTCGCGGATCGCTCCCGGTCTCGGGGGGGGGGTGGCACTTTAATCGAAATATTAACTCTTCTCCTCCAGCACAATCACTTATATTGTCAATCCATGCAATTAATAACTTTTATCCAAAACAAAAGCTCCTCTCTCGATCTTGGTTGTCAAATCCTTGCTTTGAAATGTTTACAATGGGGGGGAGACTGACTTCCTCTTTGCACCTCCCCCCGCTCGTGCCAAATCCACTAAAAATTTTTTTTAATCCAATTTCCAAATTACTCACGGGTTGTTGTTTTTAATTTAAGTCCAGATTTCCAGAAGAAGAAGTCAGCACTCTCCGTCGAATGGCATGCGGCTTCGCTCGGCAGGGGAAGCAGTAGACTCGCAGCACCGCGCCGCTCCCCATCCCCCGCTCCGTAGCCTTTAAAAAGGCTCCTTCACGGCTCGGAAGGGCGCTATCGGTGCCCGCCGAGTCACCAAGTCCACGGGCATCCGCACCCGTGGTTTTTGAGGGTCCCCGCGTCGCTGGCGCGGCAGGACCCGACCCCTGTCGAGCAGACTCCCTCCAGAGCTCGGAGGGAATCCGCCATTCGGCGCTGGCGCCAACCCGGAAGCCCCGAGGTGGCCACCTTTTTAGACAAGCATTCCACAAGTCATGTCTGTAGTACAACAGAATGACATTCAAGTTTGCATTATGATAAAAATACAGGCCACAGTGCCTTGTGGCATGCACAGAGAGACAGATACACACATGGCACAGATGAGCCCATGCTGGTTGAATCCTGCCTACACCAACATAAGTTCATCTTTTCATGTACAGGTAACTGGGTGGAGATTATATGCTGCGTTAATTCACCCAATGGGCAAATTCACCCCCAAACAGAGCACTCTGTGCTACTGGACATTTGGGGGCCCTGTACTTCCTTCCTTCCTTATTTAAATGACCCTTTGGTGGTGTCATAGTTCCTTCCTGTGGCTGCTGTGTGAATGCAGAGGAAGATGATGTGTGGGGAGTGGCAGTGGAGGGCCATGAACACTCCAGCAAGGGTGTCACGTGGGTTTGATTGCAGTGTCACATGGGGGCATAAAATATTTGTGTGGAAGTGCTTGATTGGCCATGTGTTCGGGTGGGGTCCTGTTTTCTGGTATCTTTGTACCTGAAGAAATCATCAAGTTGGAGACCCAGTTTCCTACACCTTGTCCTATTCTGGCATTAAAGTCAGAAGCAATCATATGCAGTTACAGCACAGAAATCAGATGTCACATTATGCAGTTGGCCCCATTTCTTAGATCCCTGAGGAAGAGTGTAGAAAGTAATCTCATAGCTGTTATGAGGTCAGACAAGGTATTCCTGCAATCTGTGATCATGGGCCAAAAGACAAAGGTCGACATGCTGTGTTGGAAACATAGCCTGATTCAAATAAGATGCCTGAAATATTATTGGAAGAAGAGGTTGAGGCTGTAAATGGCCAAAAGCAAGCCTGCAGTTTCCAACTTTCTTTTTTGTGTGAACACTCCATCTCATTCTGGGCTCATCCATTGTTGTAACTCAGATGGGAATCTGTCAGGCAACTTGTCACTGGGAAATGAAGTGAGGCATGCTTTGAGAGGATTGCCCCAACAGCATAGGTAGGGTACAATGAAATATCAACACTTGGTTACGAGTTTTATTTTTCCTTACATTCCCCATGGTCACATCCATCATCTTGCTGATATTTTATTTGTATGTTGTTTTTCACCTGTTTGCCTGATACATGGTTTTATGTTTTATAGCATTGTTTTATGTCACATTTCACATATTTTTTGATAAAAAGCATGATTTGAATTTAATAGTTTACCTGGTAGCTGATATATACCGCTATTAATGACTGAAAAGCACTCTCTCTGTGCCTCCTTAAAAAGTTTAGCGACAAGAAATGAATAGTCAATAGCAGCGACTGCGTGATAATAAACAATAATCCCTGGTCCTTTACGGAGATGTTCCATGCCAATAACTTCATAACCTGGAAATAATACAAAATGCCACAAATAAATATTACTTTGTGAAAAATAAATGAAATATTGCAATCTTTTATTGGAAGAAAACAGTGCGGTTCAGAAAACTGAAATTTAAGATCAGGTAAAAACCTCTCCTATATGTTTCAGTGTTCTGGATGCTAGTTTGTCATCTATACAGATCAAGACTTTCTCTGTTGTGATCCCAGAACAAATGGTATTCTCCTCTGCTGGAATATTCCTTCTTTGCTGACTTTTGGGTGCAGGTGAAAACATTTTTGCCTAGTCTTTGAGTAAGCTAAAACTGTGACACTCTTTCAATCTCCTTTAAGCATTTAGATGTGTTATAATACTCATATCTTCAGACCATTCTCTGAATCACTTTATACAAAGTGAGAAAACAGTTTCCCAGACAGATGCACCCTTGACCAATGTCCTAAGTAGCCACAGGGTTTCATCCTTATGACCCAAATTTGGTTTTAGTAATGTATTTCTGATTTATGCTTCAACATCTAAAGCAACATCACTCTGGGAAGCAATGAGAACATAAGATGGATCCTCTTGATTAAGCCAAAGCTCTCTGTATTCCATCATCCGGTTTCTCGCAGTGTCCATCCAAATTAGCAGCCATCACCACATCCTACGCTGGCAGATTCCATGGTTTGTGTCCAGAGTTTATGTTTCAGAGTTACCTAGTGGTTTACCATGCTCTGGAAAATGGCACCATCAAAGTCTCACTGCACGATGATATACTCATTACATTCGCTGCGTACTCACTACACGTTTAAACCCAAGCCCCTTCTCTTGCCACAATCCATGAAACTATTTTTAAAGAGCTTTGCTAATTATAGCTCTGTGAGGTGTAAGCAACATTCTCCTGGTTTCTTTTGGAGAGGAGGCATGCTTTCAATGTGATTAAATGTATGGTGTTTATGCAGCCACCAGGTGACCCTTTCTTCTGTAATATATCTTAATTTCATACCTCATAATATGTTTTCTTTTTCGTTTTGATTATTACGTATAAAATTTCCATGCCTTTCTTTTGATCCATATGGAGCCAAGGCCAGCTTGGAGCTGTGGTGACTCTGAAGTGGGTTTAGAGGTCCACTCCTGATGCACTGTAGCAACTATTGTCCCAATGTCTCAAGTCTGAAATTCTGATGCTCAATCCTATGAAAGTATAGGAGCTGATAAGATTGAATTATTGGAATGAAATAAAGCTTACTCACCATACCATATCTTTCCAGTTATATCACAAACTTGAGCAATAATTTTCCTTGGTTTTTCCCAAAATTTGCTAACATCACTTTCTTGCTGGTTATTAATCTTCTTGTAAATATGTAACACAAATGAGAGAGCCCAGAGACACAAAACCGTACATATGAATGGTGAATAAAGTAAAATCAGAAGCTTAAGTAACCACAAAGGGTGAACCACTAAGGCCCGATATTCTTCCAAATAAGAAAAACTGATCCAGTTTTCCAGAATTTGAGAAAACCAGCTCATGGTTTCCTAATCTGAAGCACCACGTGTATGCCAATGAAAGAAATATATGAAGTGGAAATTTCCTCAGTTGTGATGGTATTTTTTTCAACTGTTTACCTGGAAAACAGAAAATGCAGTACATTAGTTTGAACTGTCATCCCAGAAGCATTCATGATTACATGAAATCTCATGTGATTTAATATTTTCCTAGTTTTCCCCACTGTAACTTGCCAAGTAGACGTATTGTTTTTCCAGCATCCATCATGGGGATGTACAACATTACAAATGTATGACTCCATCATTTATTTGATGTAAAGCAAGCTGGTTTCATTCCACTGCTGAAGTATTAAGGAAAGTGGGAAAGGGTTACTTCTCTTTGAGTCAGCATAAATGGTTCCCTGCCCCCTAAAGAGAGACATGGAGACTGTTGGAATGATCCAGTTAAAAAGTGGAGAACTTTGTGAAGATTTAATCTGAAGGAATTTGGACACATTGCAAGACTTTTGACTGAGAGAACTCTGGCAGTTGCAGGTCTTCGTTAACAACTGGACTTTGCTCTTACTGTGTCGACTTTGCCTCATCAAGGACTTTATAAGTCAAAATGCTCTCTGGGCTGTAGAGTGTGTGTTTTCAGTGTCTTTGTGCCCCCAAAGTAAAAACTAACTTTGCTACACAGTTGTTCCCTATGCTGGGCCTAACCACTCGACTTAAATTGTGTGGTGCAAACGCAACACTGAACAAGATTGAGGGTGGGTAGAAAAGTGAGCTGAAGGGTAGCAGCATTTGGGGATACACCGCAAAATGTCTCTTTCTGGGGATGTGAAATGGAAAACAGCACTGCTGCCAGAGAAGAACAGATGCCGATGGCCAAACCCTGTTATCACTGCCTCTAGAACTTCTTTCCAGTTGGGTTATTGGAGATCATGCCACAATACTCAGCCATCACATTTTTGTCTTCAACTTACTAAGTCATCTTAACATCCATTAGCTTTACATAGTCGAATTGTATATTTTTGATTCTACTCTATCTTCACTACATTTTTCAACTTAATGGTATAAGAAAATAGACAAGATTGGTGGTGGGGGGGGGTTGTGCCTATAGTAGCTGTGTGATAGGATAAAGTAATACCTGAAAAAGCCATAAGTGCTCTAGTTCCTCACCCCCGAGAGCCACGAAAAAATAAATTTCACTGCTGTGGTTTGTCTTAGATCAGTTGTACCTTGGTTTGCAAATAGCTTAGTTCTCAAACGTTCTGGGAAGCCGAACGTCTAGTGGGGCTTCCACGGCTTCTGATTGGCTCCAGGAGCTTTCTGCAGCCAATTGGAAGCCTTGCTTTGGTTTTCAAATGTTTTGGAAGTTGAACAGACATGGTACGACGGTAAACCTTACTGCTTACCTTACTTGACAAAGATAAATGAGCGGAACAAGATGGTGCTTGATAGCTGTGACGCAGGATGGAAAAAAGTGAATTCCTCCCTCTTTCGTGGGAGTGGGGAACATCTTTTGGCTGATTCTACAATGATCTGAGACAATAATTTGTGAAATATCCCACAACATACAGTGCACCTGTTTGCAGGTTTTTCTTCTTTATGGGTGGGAAAGAAAGCGAAACGGGTGTCTAGCAACTCCCCTCCCTAGAGGGGAGACTTGTGTGGTCCCTGGAAAAGCTGATCAATTGCCAAATGCTTTATATCTGTGGAATATATTCCATTTTAATTGCTACATATATTTGCAAACAGTATGCTTAACAACTCAACAACTTGGGAATTTACTGCATCATAAAACTTCAAATGGAAGGCTTGGACAAGAGCCAGAACTGGAAGATAAGAGTGAGCCAGGGAAAGCTTCCTTGGCAAACAGACAAAGGAAATACACACACACACGTGTGTGTGTGTGCGCACACACACACACACACACACACACACAGTATATATACAAATTAAACTACGCCTGACAGATGAAAGGATATATGATTTTTTAACATGACTGAGAATCGATTAGCCAGTGACTGAGGACTTTGAGAGTTTAAGATCAGAATGTGGAAAATATGAGAACAAGAAGAGGGCAGAAATATCATTATGTGAGATGAGTTCTTCAGAAGTCCAGAATATGGGAAGTCCATGTGAAATTTAATAATTAATAATTAAGATTGTACCATAATTTGTTTTTTGTTTTGTTTTGTTTTGTTTTTGAATTGGATTATGATTTGATTTGATTTGTTCTTAATTGGATGTTCTTAATTGAAAATTAATAAAAATTATTATTATTATTATTATTATTATTATTATTATTATTTTATTTAATAAGATCCTTTCCACCCACCCTTGCTAAGAATGGGGAAGCCCTCATTACTGGCATTTGAGGAATGGTGAATTCCACGGGGGCACTGTTTCAACTGAAACAAAATGTTTTTATCTCACATATATTTGAGTCTACATGCAATGCTTTCCCCCTGTTGGCTTGGACAGTAGTGTACACTTGACATTAGCTACCATCCATATCTATCCCAGCTTCAAATCAACCCTGACTAAAAGAAATGAACATCCTAGCTGTGTTTTATGTTGACAGTGTGGAAACAGGCTAAGATGTTCATACAACTAGTTTTTACATGCACACAAACACACACAGAGAGACACACAGACAGCATTTCTCTCTCTCTCTGCTGACTCCTGCACAGGAAGTGACAAATAATACAACTACTAGGACATTTGCAAATGAAGCAGGGTCTAGTATGGTTTCAGACTGAATGAGAGACTTTTTTTTTTTAAAAAGATATTTATTAAAGTTTAACAATTACAGAAAAAAGAAAAGCAAAAAATAAAAGGTTACAATACTTCAAAAATAAGAAAATACAATAAAAAACAACAATACAACAAAACAATAAAAAACAAAAAACAAAAACATATAAGAACAAAAACATTTTAAAAAGAAAAAAAATCCATCCATGTCTTTTCATGTCTTTATCTTTCATTTACTTATTTCCTTGACTTCCTCACACCTCCCTTTTTTGTATTCTAATTCAATTAGTTGTTTCAGCAAGTCCTTTCCCTCTTTCTCAAATTTAGTTCCATAATTTATCTTAACGCAATTTAACCTTAGATTTTACACCTTGACCCGTTAACAATCTATTCTTACTTAATTCTTTATAACATTTCTGCTAAAGCCATATAACTTCTTTCCACTGAATGAGAGACTTTGATGAGATTCCTGCATTGAAGAGGGTTGACTAGATGACCCTTGGAATCCCTTCCAACTCTACACTTTATGATTCTATGAACATTTTTTTTTTTTTACTTACATTTCTGGTAAGTCTAAATTCCCTTTGCTTCAGTCACCTCTCTGTGGATGCAGCAGAAGTCCTGTCTGGTGAACTTTTTCGTAGGCTGATTTCCACCCCTATGGAGACACATCCCTTTCTGTGCTGCTTTAAAGAGACTGTGATGAGTGTGCCATTTGTATGAAGAAAGCAAGCATTGTGAAAAAGACATAATCCTAGGGAGTCTGCCGCTAAGAGGTTTTGCCCATTAAAGATTATGAAGACACACCTACAATAGCACTTAAGAATATATTGGGTCACAGATCACCAGTTATTGACTAAGGTATAAAGGTAGGTGTTGTAACAAGTGTGTTACCTCCATTTGCTGGTGGCTTCTCCCAGTATAAGATGTGTATGAGATAGGAACATGATGTAATACACGAACCTTAATAACATGTTCTATTTACAATATTGAATCCTAGTGCTGCTTGAGTAAAAGCTCTTCCATTGGCACCATGCTGCATTTAATTATGCAGCATGAATTGCTTGCTTTGGAGCCCCAGAAATTCCAGGCTGACATGCTCTGATATCAAAGGGTCTCTGGCATCCGGCACATGTTCAATACTGTCAGGTGGAGGTGAAGGATCCAAGTCCAGCATGCGTTCATCAGTTAAGTCAGAGGAATAATCGCATACATACATGTTGGTCCATTTTACTCTGTCATGCAGTGCCTGCAATTCAGTCACAGACTCACTAAAAACTGAAGTTCATCAGGCGGTTTACAATATGATGATGATCATATCTATCTACATCTACATCTACATATCTATATCTACATCTACATCTATATATTTATTTCTATATTTATTGTCAGGCTTTGGGGGATTTTATCCCTCCCCCTCCTCCGGTGGCAGCAAGAAGCAGAGAAAAACAAGAAGAGTTCTTACTAATGAGTTTATTCAATCATTACAGCGAGAGACAAATGAATGCAGTCAGTCTCTCATTATTGGCATTGCTCCAGCTGAGATCCTCTCCACTCCCTTCCCTTGCTGGGGAAAAAGGGGGCAGAGCTCAGTTCCAGCAACTATCTCATTGGAGGAAGACTGAAATTAGCAGAGCTCCAACCGGGGCTTTTGATGAACCAATAAATCTTAAACAATTAACTGCCGGAGTCATCTCGTGTGTGGGGGGGGGGGGAGACCCAAGCCTTACATTCTTGATCCTCCATTTCTACGAATATTTTTAAATTTCACTGATTTCCCCTTTTATAGCTGTATTTTCTTCTTTATCTCCACTTTTTATAGAGCAGTCTCTATGCTCCTACAAGTTCAAAGACCAGAAATGCTGCAACACATGGCTCTTGACCATAAAACCTCTAGGTCCTGGTCTCCATGGCAACCATGGAGCAAACAGTGCTCCCTCATATTCTTAGGAGTGTCAGGCAATGAAGTAGAACAGTGTCTGGAAGGGACTCAGCAGCTTGCAAGGCATCATCTCTCTCTGGAAGGCCTCTGGTTTTTATCTGCCTTTTAGAAGATAGGAGTGCCTGTCTTCCTGTGGTCCATGAGGTCACAAAGAGTCAAACATGACTAAACAACAAAGTGGTTTTAATGAGTTTTAATCAGCTTTAACTCTTCAAGTGATTCATGAAGTGACTAGTGAAGATAAGATACATGTGTTTTTTATGTTTTCTGGTTCTGTTTGGCTTTTACAAGCCATGGATATTTGTTCTTAATGATTCTATGACTGAATCGCAGACAGAGTGTTGCGAGTACAATTCCTACCTTTATTCCTTAGTCAAGAACTGATTTTCTGTGATGCAATATGTTATTGTGCATTATGAATGTTCTTATAGGTGTGATTCCATACTTACGTTGATTACAAAAGGCACAACTTCCCAGAAGCAGCCTCCCCAAGCCTTCTCTCTTTTTCACAATGCTTGGTTTCTTCATACAGATGGCACACCCACATCAGTCTCTTTAAACCTCCACATAAAGGGATGTGTTTCCATACTGGTAGAAATGTGCCTATGAAAAAGTAGAGCACCAGACAAGACTTCTGCTCTCAGAGAGAGGTGACCAAAGTCAAGGCAATTTAGGCTTACCAGGAATTTAAGTAAAAGATTTTGTTCATAGAATCATAAAGTGTAGAGTTGGAAGGGGCCCAACGGGTTGTCTAGTCAACCCCCTGCAATCTCAACAAACGATCCTTGCTTAGTTTTGCAAATGTGCTAGTAGTTGTGTTATCCATCAGTTACTGCTCAGGGATCAGCAGATAGAGAGAGAGGAATGCTGTCTTGTCTCTCTCTGTGTGTGTACAAACCAGTTGTATGAAAATCTTAGCCTGTTTCCACATTGTCAACTTAAAACACAGCTAGGATGTTCTCTATTTGCGGAGATGAAATTAAGCACTTACAGCTTTTCCGATATTATAACACTGAGAAGCAGAAATTAAATTCCTCCCTATAAAACAGCTATTATTGGAAGCAAAACAGCTGTAGTTTAAAGCCCCCCCCACCCTTATCAATTTTGTCTCTTTACCCATACTTTTTTGTTGAAAGATATGGTGAAGATAGAGTAAAATAAAAAATATGCAATTCAACTATGTAAAGGTCTGTTTTCAGATGACTTAGTAATTTGTAGACAAAAATGCAATGGCTGTGTACTGTGGCATGGTCCCCAATAAACCAACTTGAAAGAAGTTCTAGAGGCAGTGATAACAGGGTTTGGCCATCAGCATCTGTTCTTATCTGGCAGCAGCGCTGCTATTCCAATTCACATCCCCAGAAAGAGGCACTTTGCAGTGAATTCCAAAATGCTGCCACCCATCAGCTCACTGTTTTTCCCACCCTCCGTCTTCCTCGGTGTTGTGTTCACACCACATAATTTAAATTGAGTGGATAGCCTCAGTACAAGAAACAACTGCGAGCCACCGACAGCCGAGTGGAGCAGAGCCTGTTGGAGCACTGCGGACTCTTCTGCTCCAGGCAGCTCTTCCCCGGACTCCAACGCTCGCTCCCAAACTCGCGCCAAGCTGCCCACAGCAGAAGAGCCCGTGGCGCTCCGAGGGGCCCTGCTCCCATTGGCTGTTGGCTCTTGCCCCAACTACATGGCAGCTAACCGTTTTGGCACCATGCACGGCGCACCATGTAACGTTGTGGGAGCTGCACAACGCATCCTGTTGCATGTGCCAAGCTGTGGGTTCCTTTGCTGGCTTTTCCGCTGTTGATGCACACTCCCAGCACCACCCAACATGATGTGCCAGCGCAGAACAATGGGGAATGCAAGCGGCAGCAGAGGAAATATCTCCGGACACAATCTGCCGCGCGCCAACAGCGCCGACAGCAGCAGCAAATCCCGACGAATAGGAGCTTGCGGATCCCAGGTGAAACAGTTAGCCACCATGCAGCGTGGCGACTCATTATCTTTTATCACCCAGTTTGTACTATTGACTATTTCTTCCTTGTCGCTAGACTTTTCAAGGAGACAGGGAGAGAGTGCTTTACAATAATTGATCGTGCCATATATTGGTTTCCAGGTAAGTTATTAAATTTAAATCATGCTTTTTATATAAAATATGTGAAATATGATATAAAATAAAGCTATAAGATATAAAACAATGCTATAAAATATAAAACATTGTATCAGAATCAGGTGAAAAAACAACACATGAAATATCAGCAAGAGTCCTCACAAAAAAGGAAGTTGGAAACTCCAGGCTTGCTTTTGGCCATTTACAACCTCAACCTCTTCTCCCAATAATGTTTCAGGCATCATATTTGAATCAGGCTATGTTTCCAATACAGCATGTCAACCTGGGTCTTTTGGCCCATTATCGCATTGCAGGAAAACCTTACCTGACCACAAAACAGCTATGAGAGTGCTTCTTCTTCTTCTTCTTCTACTCTAGTAATTGCAAGACAATTCCTGTGCTTCCATGCAGAAATTTCATGCTTTCTTGTACAACTTGTCTACATTCTTCCTCAGGGATCTAAGAACTGAAGGAATCTGGATAATGTGACATCTGATCTCTATGCTGTAACTGCAGGCTCTCATATAATAATTGCTGCTGACTTTAATACTAGAATAGGACAAGGTTTAGGAAAATGCGTCTCTGAATTTATGATTTCCTCAAGTACAAAGAGTTTTGCAAAATTCAGTCATTAGTAAAGATGGATATTCATTACTGGAAAGAACAACGCAAATTATGGGATTCTGCTTGGGAGCATCTGCACTAGCAAACCACCTGCGCAAAATCCTCTGTGCCACTGGGTGGCAGCTGGGATGGGGTGGGAGCTGGGATAGGGTGATAGCCACTGGGTGGCAGCTGGGATGGGGTGGGAGCTACAGCTAAGGAAAAGGGCAGAAGCCCAAGTGAAGCCCCAAAGACATGTCCGAGGCTTTCATAGCAAGTCCAACATATTACCAAATCTGCACACAGATCCCAGAAAGCATGGCCCCACCCAAACACATGGCCAATCAAGCACTCCCACACACAGCTTTTATGCCCCCATGTGACACTGCAATCAAACACATGTGGCACCCTTGTTGTAGTGTTCATGGCCCTCCACTGCCACTCCCCCCACATCACCTTCCTCTGATGACACCACAGAAAGGTGAAGGAAGGAAGGAAGGACCGAGCCCAAAGTGTGCTCTTTGGGGGTATTCCACTGGTTCATTATGCAGCATATATTCTCTACACATATATGTGTGGATGAATCTCTGCTCTTTTCCACCAGCAAAGCCTCCTCTGTGCCATGTGTGTATCTCTCTCCCCGTGTGTATATACTATATCCAAATTGAAGTTTTGGGTGGTGCAGCAAGCACTATGGACTGTATTTTTATCATAATGCAAACTTGAATGTACCCATTGACTTGAGGAACCCATTTCCAAAAAGGTGGCCACCTCAGCACTCAACCCCACTCAATGTGCTTCCCAAAAAAAGCCTACTGTTAGAACATCTGAGCAAAAGAGGAATTAGCATAAAGTCCCCCTCCATGAAATCCTAATTGAAATGGATTGGCAGAGAGCTATGCTTGTGATCCATAATAGTGCTATATCTTTGGAACAATGACACTTGTATTGTATCCACACTCTTCTTCTATTTGGGTCTTATTTTGTCAGGGTGGAAGACGGCTTTAGATGCGGCCGGGTTGAAAGACTTCAATAAAGCTGAATCTGTGGAAATTTTGAAGAAACGCCATTCACTGGGCATTGCCCCTGGTGGCAGTAGAGAAGGAAACTTCAGTAATGACTACAACATAATGTGGGGTAACCGCACAGGTTTTGCTCGGGTAGCTTTGGAGGCAAAAGTGGTGAGTGATATTTGTGCAATTTGCATTGACTTCACGATTATCCTAGATAAGACATAATTTGTTGATATCCTTGATCTAGCATCCTAAGTAGTTGAGGATGGCAAATCCCCTGTTTGGGGGTCAAATGATATCTGGAGTTCCAAGTATTTCCCACCACTGCTTTTTTTTAAAAAAGCTATTATAATCAATTACATTTAAAAAGAAAAATAGCTTTTTTCCTCTTCAATTCTTGCAAATCTGGGGGACAGCATGTGCAATTTGAAGTCAATTACATCAGGCTTGTCATTGCAATACGAGATGTGGAGCATTATTCCTAGTCATTAACCAAAATAAAGGTGGAGTGGGTGGGGTGAAGTAATTCTCCAGTTCTCAGCTACCTTTTGATTTTGATTTTTGATTTTATTCTTTTAGCCCATCATCCCTATATTTACACAAAATGCTTGTGAAGCATACAGGAACATTGGAAAGTCAAATGAGTAACTTGGTTGATCAAGAAATCTGCTTTCAGGCAATAAACATATTAATAATATAAAAATTTTTAGAAACAGAATATCTTTTTACTACTTTCTAGTAGAGTTTATTCAGTGTACACTGATCTGCAAAAGCGGTGCGGCCTGTCTCAGGACTGAGTGAACATGTCCTTGCTAAGTTTTTTCTTAGATTTAAAAGATAGCTATAATCTATAAAAGTGGTAGGAACCCCAACATGGAGGGGAACTGAGCAGGAAAAATACCATATTCTGCAGTCTATTTTACAACTTATGACCTTGATTTTTAAAGAGCAGAGAAGAGCTGGCAGAATATGCTGCTTTTTCTTTTCCAAAGGACTCATACTATTTAACTCTTCCTCTCTGGGATGGATTGACTGGAATTGCTAAAAACTCAGAATGCCAACTAATTTCAAATTTGATATGGGATCGCTTTCTTACAGACTCTTTTCCCTTTCATACATAGGGCTGACAAGATGGTTATATGAGAAAACAAGACTTTTCTACCTTCCCGTATATGGAGGATTTCCAGTGAAACTGAGGACATATATTGGAGAACCCATCCCATATGATCCAAATATAACAGCTGCAGAGCTGGCTGAAAAAGTAAGCTAACTCTACACCTGGAAGTAAAAAAGCAGAATATTGTTTTCCTGTTGGTTTCTCTCTTTCAGTTGTATAAATTGTATTCTGCCTACTGACTTACTCATTCTATACGACCAGAGATCGGGTTTATTATATAGACTTTTGTGCATTATGTTCATCACTCAGCTTTCCCGCTCTGTAAATTGTTGAGACCACGAAAAACCTATGCATTTTATGTAGTGCTGCACAAAGATCTGCTCATGCAATAGGACTTCTTCTGCCCACCCTATGCCCCAGAATCTGCCCCAGAGGGTTCCTCCAAGCCCCCTCCCCAGTGGGGGACCCAATAAGCACTGTGCGCTCTTAAGCCTCAATAAAAATATTACTGAAGAACTTCTGATGTTTGTGTGACTTATTGCAACTCTGCACGTGAATGTGACTCCATTCTACTCTGCTATTTTCACCCATGCCCTGCTGTGCTCTTTTCAGGCAAGGAACCAGAAGGTGACTGTTTTTTGTCACTAGCCCTGTCAGCCATTGCCATTCTAAGAGAACAAGGGAGGTGTTCATAGTGAGTTCAGGCACCTCTTTTTCTGGAAAAATAGCACTGAGCATAGTGAAATATAACTCAATAGCATTTCTGCAGTTTTCCTCACATAACTGGAGGTAACAACCATGCAGGAAAACTAATTCGTACCAAGCAGCCCAAGGCACTTATGTTTGGTTGTATCTCTACCATTCTCATACAGTGCTCTTGGTAAAAAAAACATAAAGACAGTGGGCTGGATTCATGGAGAGATGAACAGCTTCCTAGTGGGGTTTCCTGGCCCTGGCTGCTCTTGCCCAACCCTCTATGGTGAAAAAGTCACTCTTGAGGATTGTGGGACAAGGGCTGTCATATTGCGCATCTGTAACTGGAAAAAAATGGGATTCTTTATTCTGCTGGTTCTGATTCCTTTAGCATTTCCTCACAGATATGAATAACTGTGAATATCCATTTTGCAATATATTGATATAACACAATATTCCTTTGTTCTTCTTTCAACAGACAAAGACTGCAATTGAAAATCTTCGGGATAAACACCAAAAAACACCAGGAAATATATTAAGAGCTATTTCAGAACGATTTGATAAGCATTACAAAGCTAACTAGTCCATATAAAGCAGTTGTAATGTTTATGATCATGCATCTGTAATAGAAAACTGTCATTATTATGTAATTAAAGCGAAGTTAAGATACACAGAATTGTGCTGGATTGTATATTAATTATTGTGAAGGGTCATTAGCTCATTAGCTCAGCCCTTGGTGTACATGCTGAAGAGCCTAAGTGCCTTCTTGTCCTATCCTGCAAAACTCCCAGAATCCCCCTTTTGGAGTCTTACACTGGTAGCACCAGAATCAAAGAGTGTAACGGGAAGGTGAGTGTTTAATTGAACCTTGAAATAATGCTATATCTGAAAGAGTAATGTCTACAAATCTTCTGTATCAAAACAGTGACACTTCTTTTATGTTTATAAAAGGCTGTTCCAAGATCTGAGCCCTGTAACACAAATCTTTCTGCAGAAGCTCTTGTGTATGCTCATTGAGTCTCAGGACTTGGACAGCATAATGATGATACTAAAACACTCACTTCCTGAACACGAACATTGAATACATGGAGTAGGCTTTGCTATCAAAAGCAATCTTGTGAAGCTCTTGTCAAAAGTCCCTACCGGCATTAATGAACAACTTTCAACACTTTGAATAAAACTCACCAAAAACCAACAGGCTACAATTCTAAGTGCTTATGCGCCAACATAGGATGTTGATGAAGACATTAAAGATAAATTTTACTATCTGCTGGATATCATCCTATCAGAGACACCTAAGGAGGATAATGGGACACGGGTAGCGGTTCGAAGGTTGGCAGTTCGAATCCCCGCATAGAGAAATGCTCGAAGGTTGGCAGTTCGAATCCCCGCATAGAGAAATGCTCCCTGATACCAAGATGAGGGATTCCTTTGGAATGCAGATAGAGTTAATTGATAAGAATAATGATCTGTTGTGAGCTTGACGGAAGTGTACAATAGATGAGCTTTCCTGCTTTGGCTCATCTTCCTCCCCCCCCTTTTTTCTTTTTCTTTTTTCTTTTCTTTTATCTTTCCCTTAATTGCTTATACTTCGATTTTTTTGTAGGTTTTTTACATTACTATTAAGGAATTTTCCTTTGTAATTTTGGTTGTCTATATTTATATGTACCTGTTTACATGTACCTGTTTAAAGCAAAATAAAAGTTTAAAAAAAGTCCCTATCGGCATTAATGAACGACTTTCAACTCACCAAAAACCAACAGGCTACTATTCTAAGTGCTTATGCACCAACGCGGGATGTCGATGAAGACATTAAAGATAAATTTTACTCTCTGATAGGATGTCATCCTATCAGAGATCACTAAGGAGCATAATATTATCCTCCTGGGTGATATTAATGCAAGAGTTGGGCAAGATTTCGATCTATGGCCTGGGACTATTGGGAAAGAAGGAATTGGCAACAGCAACCAGAACAGAATCTTTCTTTTGACTATATGTGCAGGGCACAACCTTGTTATTACCAACACAGACTTTCGACAAATATATATAAATGACGCAACAATGACACAAACCCGAAAAAGATTGTTCTGGTTTGTGAACGTTCTTTTGGAACCCAAACGTCCGACGGGGCTTCCATGGCTTCTGATTGGCAGCAGTAGCTTTTTGCAGCCAATCAGAAGCCACGATTTGGTTTTCAAACATTTTGGGAAGTTGAACGGACGACCGGAACAGATTCTGTTCAACTTCCAAGGTCGACTGTAAATTTAAATCATGGAGGCACCCTCAGTCGAACCACTGGCACCTCTTAGACAATGCAATTGTCCAAGCTGAAGATTGCCATGATGTGCTCCTTACCAGAGCTATGATTAGTGCCAACGACTGCTGGACAGATCACTGATTAAGACGGTCCGTAATGGCTATCAAGATTATACCTCAACGCAGGCTTCAAGGAAGGAAACTGTAATGGTTCTAGGGGTTGCTCGTGCGTAAGCCGGTGCCAACACCTGGCTGGGTTGCCTGAGTGAACCTTTCCTGTCCGGACAGCCACTTACCCATGGCTGCCTCAATCGCTGGCAGAATCCGTCAGTGGGCGTTTCTTAAACTTCTTCCAACGTAGAAGTTCTTTCACACCCAGTCTCCTCCTACTCTCCCTGCGTGGAAGCCTTCTGCGCAAGGAGGGCGTAGGCAGCGGAGCTCCCTTCCTCCCCCCGCTGGTCCCCGGCAAGGAGTCATGTGACTCCCTCTCAGATTCCCCCATCTGCCCCCCTTCTCCACTGGAGCTGAGCTGATTCCCTTCCCCAGAAGATGGGCTGCCTCTCCCAATCCCGGGACCCTCTCTGGGATCCCTCTGGAGCTCTCTCTCTCCCTCCGGCACTGATGGCAGTTCCCTGACAGAAACCAAGGCACAAAATAAACACTGAAACCCTTCAAGATCCCATTAAGTGGGATTGCTTCCAAGCTACTCTTAAGGACCATCTACTTTCGGAGTTCCCTGATAACATTGAGGAACACTGGACCAAAATAAAAAGATCAATTGTTGCAGCCCATGAACACCTGGTGGATAAAAAAATGCTCAAGAGATCCAGCACTTAGCCAACACTCATGATGCACAGAGTTTCTTTAAAGCCACAAAGACCATCTATGGGCCAATAAATCATGGCATGCCCCCTATGCTCAACAGACAGTACCACACTTCTAAAAGATAAAAAAGCTATTGCACTGTGATGGAAAGAACATTACCAACATCTCCTTAACCACAACTCTCTGTAGCTGCTGAAGTCCTCTCACAAATTCCGCAAAAACAAATTAGAGATGAGCTTGCAGTATCTCCAACTCGGGGAAAGTTGTGTACAGCTATTAACCAAATGAAAAACAACAAAGCCACTTGTTATATGCCTGCGTGGTTGCTTGAGAGCAAAAAGGCAAGACTCTCACTGGTCTTTTCCAGGCTTTATTATCTGTACAAAAACATTTACAGTGCAGAGCGTCTCAAGTCCATGTCTGCTCAGTCGCTAGCAGAATCTGGGAGTGGGCAGTCCTTAAACTTTCCCCAGCATAACAGTCTTTGACCCCCATCCTTCTCCTCCCCTCTCTGCGCGTAAACTGACTGCGCAGAGAGAGCGCTGGCAAAGGGGGACTTGCCTCCCCCCCGCTTTGCTCAGGCTCGGTGTTGCGGCTCTCTCTAACATCTTCCGATCCCTGGATCCCTTCCCCACTGGAGGTGGGGCTTCCCTCCTTGCTGGAGGAAGAGCTGCTTTGCACGATCTTCGGAGGTTCCCTGTAACCCAATTGCCCTTCCACCTCTTGCCTCTGAGCTGATGGCAGTTCCCTGACACTAGTGGACCTGATGGGATACCTGCCTGTATATGGCCTTTATTGACTTGACTAAGGCCTTCAACACTGTAAATCGTAATGCCCCGTGGACTGTCCTTCTGAAAATTAGTTGCCCAGATAACATCATTCGGTTCCTCCATGATAATATGACAGCAACAATCGCAGATAACAATGGCTCTCAACGTGAACCATTCACAGTGCGATCAGGTGTTAAACAGGGTTGTGTTATCTCCCAACTATATTCATTATTTTCATTGCCATGATCCAACACTTTGTCGAAGGGAAACTCCCCACCAGAGTAGAAATTATATATCTAACAAATGGAAAGCTCTTTAATCTGAGTAGGCTGAAGCAAAGAGTAAGGTTGCCATAACTTCCTTCAAAAAGCTTCAGTATGGTGATGACAACGTAGTGTGTGCACACTCGAAGGAGGACCTCCAAACCATCCTAGATATCTTCGCAGAAGCTTATGAAATGCTTGGCCTATCATGCAACATCCAAAAAATCAAAGTGATGCATCAACAAGCACAAAACAACCCCTATAGAGCGCCACAAGTCCAACTCAATGGTGTAACATTAGAAAGTGTTGCTCACTTCTCCTAACTGGGCAGTTATCCTTCCACAAGGGCTGACACCCAGCATCGCCTGAGCTCTGCAAGTGAAGCTTTCTCCCGTGCAGAGTGTTTGAGGACCTTCGCAGAGAAACCAAAATGCTTGTTTACAAAGCAATTGTACTACCAGCCTTACTGTATGCTTGTGAAACATGAACCACTTATGAACACCATCTCCAGCTCCTCAAAAGATTCCATCAACGGTGTCTTCTGCCTCAGCCAGATGTTGGGCATTTAGTGTCACCACTCCCATACTGTGGTATACCATTTCATCAGAGATTTGGCAGGGGTCCTTGCTTTTCTCTTTCAGGAGTCTCTTGGAGACATTTATGACAATAGCCTAATGCAGTTTAAAAATGCTTTTAAACGGCCACTGTGAGAACAGCATGCTGGACTAGATGGGTCACTGGCTGGATACAGCAAGTTCTTCTTTTGCTCTTAAGAGGCCTCTGCTCCTTGGTTTAATAATATAAGATGTTTTTTCATGAATACTGAAAACTAGACAATGCTTCCTAAAGCATTGGCCTGATCCAGGAAGCTCTTCTTACACTCTTTAGAGGCTCCAAAAGGAAAGAAACTTTCAATCTCCATCTACTTCTTAGTTTGATAATAGAAGATGCTTTTTCATGACTATTGAAGATTGCTTCCTGAAATGAGCAGAGAAAACTTTTGATGGCTAGTAGTTATCAACCTAATAACTAGTGACTTCCAGGTCGACTGTGGATAATGGTGGATGACAGAGACCGCTTGTCCTGAACAGCCCGCTTGTGGTGAGGAGATGGGAAGGGAGCACGGGTAAAGCACCTTCTCAAAAAAAGTCTGAAGGAAAAGTTTGGGTTCCGAAGGGTCCAGCCTTGTCAAAGGATGCTCTCTGGGAGCTCCCAAAGCTTTGCAGGGAGCCATGGGAGCTCCGAGATTGAGCACAGACACACAGCACCATCAAGACCCACAGCAAACTTCCTCAAATAATAACTGGAAAAAAGCAGAAGGGAAAACAGGAAATAAGAAATCAAAATAACAGATAAGGGGGGAAGCTAAGTGTGAGAAAGCAGAGTAAGAGAACAAGGATGGAAACATAATAGAACAGTGTGGCTCGAAAAATGATAACTGGTTTTTCTACTTTGCTTTTCATTTTTTAATGAAGATTTTCCCAAAAGAAAGGACAAAGACCATCTAGTGTCATTCTGATATAATTACAAGTATTGAAAAGTAAGTTTTTCTGAGAGGTATTTCAGAAGATGTGATGGTGGAATTAAGTGAAAAAATAATAAAATAACTTGCTAACCTGATTGTATTGGAAGAAGAAATGGTTAACGTGGCAGTGGACAAAAATTTTCATGTGAAATCTAGATAGGCTAAAGCAAAAAACCCCCAAAAAACTGCTGAGTGACTGTTTGGGTTTTTTTAGCAAAGAGAATTCAGAACAGAGTAATACAGATTCACTCCAGATCATCAAGCAGAAAATAATAATCTTGAAATAAATCCTGATGAGGTTGTTAAAGAAAAGAGTAAATTTCAAATATTTGGCAGATACACTGAAATATAACAAAATCCCTTATTGTTGGGTATAGCCTGATGCACAATCTTTTACACATAAAGGAAGAAAACAAAGGTGTTGGGATCCCACTGAAGCAGACTAATTCTGGAGAAAATATGGAAAAGAATTAGCAGGAGAAAGGGCATTTGATTTGGAAGCAAGACAGGAAGAAGAACCAACAGAGGCTGAGACAAGAGACAAATAAACAAAGAACAAGATGACTGTAAATGGACTTAATAATAAAACTGAAAGAAACAAGATTGAACATGTGGTTAAAAAGTTAAATTTGGATGTGATTTGCTTTCAAGAAATACACATTGTGAAGAACCATAGAAGAATTTTGATTAATAAAAGATTGGAAAAGGACTTTGTAGCCTTTGATGCAACAAAGAAGAGAGGCGTGGTAATGTATATAAAAC